CACACACACACACACACACACACACACACACACAGAGAGAGAGATAAAATCACTAAAATAAATATATTCTTTAGATTAGCACCATAAAAAACAAATTTTAAGTCAAAATAGTTACTGTCCTGTACGTAGGTGTGTATGTGCTCCATCCTTCCTGTTTTTTTAAAGTTGGCAAACACAGAGGATGTAACTGTGTAAGCCTGTTTGTGTAAGTGCCTCTGTGTGTGACAGAGGTCTGAGGCATTTGGGAAATAATTGCTAAAATCTGGGGAATGAGAGGCCACACTTTCCAAAGTTTCTTTTTGGTTCATTTACAGTTTCTAAGTAACCATCCAAAAACTGCAGCCACTGGGGCCATCAATGGGGTGTGTGTGTGTGTGTGTGTGTGTGTGTGTGTTTCTTTTGTGTTCAGATCAGTTCAGATGGTGGTCTAGAGTGTGTGAATGTGTTACTGTGTGCTGGTTCTCAGAGATGGTGAGTTGGCACTGTGAACTGTGTTCCTCCTGTGCTGTTTTTCATTAGAGTGCGGACGTTTTGATGTGCTTTCAAAAGGCTGGGAACGGGTGTACACACACACACACACACTGTTGTCTCTTCCTTTCTCTTCGTTGTGTGCAGCCCAAACTGCAGGCCAAAAGCTGTGTGCTAATGGGACACTGTATTGTTACTGAGAAGCAAAGGATGCAGGTGGCCTCGAAGGGCTTTGCTTCCTCTCCTTTCCCTTCCTCTGACTTCCCTTAAAAGAAAAACAGCTTGTTTAATTTGGGTATTGACCTGTACAATTCATTGTTTCTATGGCTGTTTAAGAAAAATGATTAGAAAGCCACCTTGTCTGCATTAAAGTTGGTATCTAGTCAGCAAATGTAATATGTCTTTAATAAACATCAAGACTAACAAAATGTTGAAATGTCTTTAAAGTAACCAGTCAGCCCAAGAAGGTGTTGAAGTTAAAGAAGGTGGTAAAATTAAAAATTGTTTTTTTTCTCTCTCTCAATCATGTACAGTTCAGACTCTGAGGGTGCCTTTGAGACTCCTGAAGCTGAGTCTCCAGGTGTTGTGGAGCTGCTGGGCCAACAGGACAACTCCAACCATAAAGGTGAGGTACTTTGGATCAGATCCCAGTGCTCGTTATCAATCGCATGATTTTAAATATTACTAGGGGAGCAACTATACAGAAAATTTTAAAAGTCCAGTTTTTAAATTAAATGTTGCTGACACAGCAAGTTTCTCAGTGGATCTGTGCTCGACAATGCAGCCTAGGCYTAGGTGGAGTAGCTGAACGCAGATCCATTGAGCCTCCAACACWGGGCATCTTCAGAAGACAAGTCGATAAAATACATTTAAAAAATCTGTATTATTAGATACAAGTGCGTATTGAACCTAAAGCACTGTTTTGAATGGTTCGATACAGATGCATGTATTATTGCACCCCTAATTATTACGTAGGTACCATTTAYGTAGTGATCATAAACCGTTCATTTTGTTAGGTGTAGTTTGGACCATTTGGTGACAGCAGTGGGTGGGTTTCAGTTGTGGCAGTTGTCATTAGTYAGAGCTCCTATGCATGCAGTGTAATTGCTAATACAAGTCAAGTATGGGCAACTTAAATGATGGAAGGAGCCACAATTTCTTGTCAACTCTACCAGAAGGTTACATAACCCTACACAAAAGCYATTTTAAAAAAGTTTATATCTTTTATTAAACCATATTAAACCAACATACAGTGCAGTAACTACTCAAATACATGTAAAACAGTTGTACTCTAGTTTAATAAATATGAATACAAAATGTTGGAAGCAAACAAAAATAAATATTTACTTTAGCCAGCTGAAGCGTAACGGCATAAGACACCTGGAGTGCAAAACGCGTGTGGTTGTGGTAAAAAGTCGCTGTTTATGTACTTGCGACTTCAGTAAACTTCTCATATTTAGCTTTGTGCAACRTGTTGCAGTGGTGACTCTTAGATTCTCAGACAGTARTATTTGTTTTGACTTGTCCCATCTGACTTTGACAGGTGTTTGTGTGTTTTTATGGTAGGCAAAGTAMTTGTGCTGATGCTTGTTTTTATGAGAAGCTTAGGGCTTTAGTCAATGTGCAAATAACGTGGTGCACTTGGTCTGAACTAGGCCATGAACTTTGTGTAAGCTTCAACTTACTTTGTGTTTTATTATCAGAGGCTTCAACCTGCTGCACGTTTGGTTATGATTTTTACAGACCAGCTTGAAGAACCTGTGTTCCACCTTCAGCCWTACACTCCCAGCTGCAGGTCTATCAGTGTCGCTGTGCTGAAAAGCAGCTCTGTCCAACAGAAGTCTCACTGAGGTGTGGTTTTATAGTTCAGTGTTAGTTTCCTGGAGCACATTGTTAATACCRCTTCAGGTTTTAGAAAAACATTTTTTTAATTGCAGTAAAGGGTTTCAAACATGCCTMATTTAATGTTGGTGTTTAGTGGGTCAGATCTGGATCAGTTGGATAATTGATAGTTTACATTTCTACTCAACAGTTTGTTGCCTTACAACTATCCAAAAACAGGTTGACCTTAAACTGAACTCAGATTTTGTCACTATGGACGTGTTGCCAGTTTGTCATAAACCAGAACTGAGACAGAACGGGTCTACTCTCACATGTTGCCATAAAATGCATGCAGCCACAAAGAAAAAATGCAACCCTAGTATAACTATCAATAATGAACAGATGCTTTCATTGCAAAAATGTTCTTTAAATTGAACATTTTTCAGTAAAGCGATCACTTGGTTGTTTTTGTCAGTAAAATATAACCCGGGTTGATGTGAGCAAAAGAAGCCCTAGATCAGCTTACTGTTATTCACATGGACCATGACTGAATGATAATTGGGATACAACAGGCTCTTTATTTAGATTTTTTTAAATAAAATGGCTGGTGGTATTGCTTCCTTCAAGCTGCCAAAAAGCCTCGCTGGTTTCAAGTCCCTCCTCTTCCTCTTCTTTTCTCTCAGCTTTCGCCCACACAGACACAAGCAGCACACACTGCCGGAGTAATAGCTAATCCACACTGCAAATATCACTGCATTTGCAAACTTTGTTCYTTCAACTACAATAAAACAATATGATTGTGTTTGCATGAGGTCKGTTGTTGGATTGTTTATCTCAGCCCTTTGAGTCAGACATGTTTTGGCCACAGCTTATGGTAAATTATAACAAACTGAGTCTAGTCTGCAGGCACTAAATTATTGACATGCTGAGCTAAAAATCTGTTTCGTTATAAATAAAAGAAACTGTGCAGAGAAACTGATACTCTKGTTCCTCTATAATTAGAAGGCTCAAATGGTCCAGCATGTTCATGGGAACCACTACATCTGCCTATATGTGCCTTTTAAAACAGTGACATGGTTGAAACCTGAGACTGCTGTGTGTCAATTTATATCTGGTTCTGTCTCACCGACACTCAGTCTTAACTTCCCCCCTCATTCGGCTTTTCCTCTTTTCCACACAGTTGTGAAACGGTAATAACACTGTGTTGTTTGTGTTGCTAGGCCATGTGTGGGTGTACTCTGCATGGCTGGGTGTGGTTCCTCTGCATCTGTTCTTTGGCTCCAAAACCTGTKTCAGTAATACAACAACATTAAGATTTTGTGCTGAAGCTCATATAAACTAACGTGAGCTGAATGAGGTGATGTAATTAATGACAAACGAAGTAGGAAACAGTCAGCCGCAGCTGAACACAGTACGCATGTGTGTGAGTTGAGAAGAAAAACAGAAATGTAGGGTGAGTTTGTGYGAAGCTGTGGGTTTTTACATTGTGTGGGGTTTCAGTGTTTCCCCTACCATTACACAGGCGGGGCGGGCCGCCCCTCTAAGAATTTCACGGCATGTAGTCATTTTTATTTAAATAAGGCCAGATCAAGTCGAGAGCTATTTTTTTGCGTCCCTCCATATCCACCTCTCACCAAACTTGGGGGAAAAAGACGGTGCAGAGCGAGGCTGAGCGCTGTGTGTGGTCCTCACAAAGATAGGAAGATGTGTGTGAGATTAGACGCGCGGCTCTGCTTTTAATCACGTAGCACCGATGCTACAGCTTTGCAAGCTACTTTTTCTTTCTTTAAAAGAAAATGCGAGAGGTGAAGCCACAGCATGCTTACTACCTTATCAATAATTACTGCCTTTTTTTCCTTTCTCTGTGGGTGGGGGGGGAGTCAGCTTCACTCAGCTGCAGGTGAACACCTCCCCGGGAACGCACACGTTTCCTGGACTATTTTCCACTGAGGATTACGTCGTATTTTAAATTTATTATATTTCTAAAAGCACTTCGCAGCATTTCCCCCTGTGTGTTCACGTCACGAGCGCAACAAAACCGCGACGGATCAGCTGACTGTTTTTAAAGCAAGGGGCAGCGACTTTACAGCAGCTGAGCCTGCCCACCTGCAGCTTGGCTCCGACCAGCCTGGGACTGAAGAGTTCTTACTTGTCAACCCCTTCAGACACTTGTTTAATGAGCATCAGAAATTTGTAATTTGTGCAAAAAAAAAAAAACAGTATTAATCACGCGGATGGAGAAGAGGTGCGCTGAGGAGGAGG